AGAGAGAGATGGAAAGGCAGAGGGAAGAGGAGAGGCTGAGGGAGCTCGAGAGGAAGGAGGCGAGTGGGAGCCGTGTTCAGACGGGCGAGCGTCGAGATGCCTCCTTTTTCCGCTCACCACCCGTTGTTGTACGTTCAGGCGGCCAAGCAGGAGATGGAGCGCCAGAGGAGGGAGGAGTGGGAGCGAGCGAAGAGAGAGGAGCTGGGACGGAGAAAAGAGGCGGAGCAAGAGGAGATCGTTCGACTCAGGGCGAGGAAGAAGAGCCTCGAGTTAGAGCTGGAGGCAGTGGTGAGGCTGCGCTGACGTTGACGTATAAACCCCTGCTGGTCAAATCTGGTCAGTTTGACACCAAGTTGATTGTTTGTCAGGGCAACAAGCACAAGCAGATCACAGACCGTCTCCGTGACGCGCAGAGCATGAGGCGGATCCAGAAGGCCGAGGTGGACCTCATCAACCAGAAGAGAGACGCCCGCATTGCTGAGATCAACACTCTTCAGCTTGAGTTCGAGGTCCAAACTTTTCTCTCCGGCCTCTTCCAGCTATACTCTTCTCTCAGTGAAGCTTGTAAATAACTCTGTTGTTATCAGGAATGGCAGAGGAAGCTGTCACAGCTCGTCCCGGAGCAACAGCGACTGTCTGAGAAGCTGCGAAACATCAGCCTCAAGAAACTGCCCCGTGAGTCAGACGGCCGCAACACCCAGACACGGCACGGCGCTCGGCTGAATTGTCTCATGACCTCTGACCTGTGCTGCGCAGCGGCCGCTTTGACGTCCCTCGCCGGGAGCGCCGCCGAGTCGAGCGGGAACTGCCGCCGTCTCAAAGATCAGCTGGACGTCCTGGAAAAGGAAACGACAGACAAACTGACCCAGATGGAGCAGTACAACAAGGAGCTGAAGGTCAGTGGTCGGCGCACGGAGCTGAAGACTCTCCGCTCAGGTTCGACCAGTTCACTCAGATGTTAGCACATTTCTCAAAGAAATCTAAAAATAGATGCTTTTTTTTTTGGTTTTTTTGCATCACGCAGAAAACACCATCCCTGCTTTCATTGGGGACAGTTTTGTGAGGAAAACAATGCTTTTTCTTTTTTTTTTCTTTTTTTTTAAGCAACTGACTTTTCTCAGAGTGGTATTTGTGTTTGCCCATCACTGCATTGCAGTTGCCAAAAAAAAAAAAAGAAAGACCGCAAGATTCTATTATATTCTTTCATAATTACCTCAATAAATACCACAGCGTTTTATGATAAAAGTTTAAGTCAATATTGCCCTTCCTTACTCTGCTGGGATTTTTGTATAGTTTTTTTTTTTTTTCTTGCATCACTGTCATGTGCTGCTGGATTCATTAAGATTAGCTACACAGATTTGTGGCCCTGAGCAGCCTTCCTGTTCATTGCCAGGTTTAAATGTTTTACCTCGTTTGTTTAATTGCAAATTGTGTTCTTTCTTTCCCGTATTTCCCACCACATTGACTGAGAAACGGTAGATAAAAAAAAATGCCTCTCGAGTTAAAGGGGGGGGGAGGGAGGGGAATAAAAAATAAACAGCTGAATAAGACTTTGCAGCACGGAAAAATCTCGTAATTATTTTTAAGAACTCGCCAACTCAGGAAAAAGTAGGGCCCTTTCAAATGTTTATGTAATTCTCAGACTTGCAGCAAGCATCAAAAATCGTCATCCTCCCTCTGTTCGGTTTAACGTAACGATATCTTGACTGCTGTTGGAGCTTTTAACTCTTTGTCTTCTTCTTTCTCTTCCTTGCTGCCACACCTGGATCTTTTTGTACTTCACGTTTTTTTTTGTTTTTTTTAACGCATCCAATGTTCCATCGTTCCACTTCCTCAATCTTTTCTCATATCCTCCTTGAAATGATGTTTTTCCATCTTTTATTGGATTCACCCCATTTACTATCCTTCGCTTTCACCGCCTCCGTCCACTTTTCTCCTCTATTTTTTTTTATCGTTCCGACTTTTTTACTGCATAGCTTGGGGATATGGATGACTGCCTCCTGCGAGGCCTCCTCTCCCTGCTGGCCTGCCTCAGCCAGCTCTTCCTCCTCATCAAGGTCATCCCTCATCCTTTCTTTGCCTCCCACTCTATTATCTTTTTCGGCAACCCCTCTGAGCTGTTTTTTTTTTTTTTTTTTCAGACATCTTCACCTCCTGTGTTCTCTCCAGCCACAATCTTTACTCTTTTCCCCATTTTCATCCAACGATAACATGTTTTTTTTTTTTTCCCCCCCCTTGTAAACAGGATGTTCCCTCTGGGTAAAAAAAACACACGTACACACGCACAATGTTCAATTTGCTCCTTTCCTGTTCTAGAACTCATACGCATCCACATACAGCACATCCAAAATGTCTGCATGTCAGTTTAAGTTTCCAAGTGGACGCCAGTGTATGATGGCTTGTAAATTCAGAATGTTAGTGGAGTTTTTTTACGTTGTCCTGAGAGAAATCCTCATGCTCTTGCCTGCACCAGGAGCTGCGGGAGAAGCAGACGAAGCAGCAGGCCGTCCTGGATGACCTGCACAGAGTCAAAGAGGAGAAGCTGAGGGAGCTGCAGAGACGCAGGGAGGAGGAGAAGGAGCGGAGGAGGAGAGAGGAAGCAGAAGCAGCAAGGTGAATCTCTTAAATCAGTCCTCCCAACCACCGTCTGCGTCTCTCCTGTGAAACCGCGCGTTTTGTCACCTAGGCCAGAGAAAACACCGCTTTCGTTCTTGCAGGCTGGCGAAGCTGGAGGAGGAGAAGCGCGAGCAGGAGCGGAGAGAACAGGAGAGGAGGGAGAGGGAGGAGGAGGAGGCGCGGCAGAGGAGGCTCCAGGAGGAGCAGAGGGCCAGGCAGAGGGAGGAGGAGGAGAGAGAGGCGCAGGCTCGCCTCCGAGCGGCTCAGGAGAAGGCGCAGGAGGAGGAGAGGAGACGGAGGGACGAGGAGGAGAGGAAGAAGAGGGAGCTGGAAGAGGAGATGAAACGGAAGGAAATGGAGGAGGAAAGGAGGAAGAAAGGAGAAAAGGAGAGAGGAGCAGCTCAGCTGACCTCGTACAGAGCCCTGTACTCCTTTCTCGCTCGCAACGCAGAGGAGCTGAGTATAGATGCAGACTGTGTCATAGAGGTGAGAGATGCGCACTCTGCTAAATAAGCTCTTCGCTCTGCCAGCAAAGTGTCCCGAGCCGCAGCTCAAGCCAAAACATAATCGACCCTCTGAGAGGTTTTTTTTTTCTCTCCTTCTGCGTCTTATTTTCTCCAAACACAACATTGCCAATTCACCCCAAGAATCCACTACATCTTCCCGAACGTTTTTTTTGGTAGCGACAAAAGAAAAATTATTATTTTTCACCCAGTAATTGTATTTTCTACAATGTCTTTGTTATGCTGTCAAACACAGACATACCGCTTTAAAAAAACGAAAATAAATGTTGAGACTCAGATTTCGGAGAAAGGTTTGTCGTTTCCATCACAGTAATTTACCATTTGTAAGACTTTTGCAAGTAATTATATTTCTATAATTTTGTAAATATGAATATATGTTTACTTTAAAATGTTCTTTCAGATGCCATTGCCCTATTTCTGCTGCGACATGCAGATTATCGCAGTAACACGTTTGTGTGGCAGGTGTCCGAAACGCTAAAGTGTTCATCGCCTGACCGTCAGCCTTTTAGCTTTGAATTGCTGAGGTTAAAGTGTGTTTCTCGTGATGCAGGTGGACGAGCACACTGTCGGCGAACCCGGCTGGCTGTGTGGGAATTACCAAGGAAAAAGGGGCTGGTTCCCCCAGAGCTATGCAGAGAAATGTCCCACTCCTCCCACCCCTGAGGCGGCCCCTGCCTCGTCAAGTCTTCCTCCTCTAAACACAAGGTAGCGAGAAGTGGCAAAATCCAATCGGTGCTGTTGGTCAAACTTTTTCTTCCTAAGTAGGAATGTGTGGAAGTCCCATTAGGCCTCGGTGATATCAGAGCGATCTCTCCTTTCCTGTTTTATCCAGAAATGCTGCCGTGGATGCCACGGAGGACAGCAGGGTTCCTCTGTTCTCAGCTGCTTCACAGGTGAGGCAAGCTTCACTAAGTTGTGTGTTAATCCCAGACACATTGCTGTATTAATGCTGCTGTTGCACTGCTTCTTGTCATGCCTCATAGTGGTGTATCTGAAAATGTATTTCACATTTTTACGAAACACTGCAAGCTGAAAAACATACACAATTTATAATACGTTTTTTTTCTTTTTCAATATTTAAATAAAAGGCTCTATGCAAAAAAGTTAAGGTGGTCCAAGTGATAAGGAATTACCTGAATTTATCAAAAAATAGTCCAGCTCCCCTGCAATGTCAGACACTCCATGCATCCAGCATGGCCAAGTGAGTTAATCTTCATCAGTGCAGACAGAGCTTCTGCATAGTTTAGCATGAGATTAAGTAAACTTGTTATTGGGTCATTGCTGTACATTAGCTGTCACTAATCATGGTCTCTCTGGGCTCCTGTATTTTGCCTCTCTAGTCCACGGTTCTCCTCGCCGCTCGAGCCATCTCTTCGTGGTCGCCCGCTTCAGAAACTCACCTCAATCTCTCGCCGGACATGGGCGGAGCCCTGCTGAGCTTCTCACAGGGCGACCTCATCAGCGTGCTCCAGCAGAGGGACGACTGGTGGCTGGGACAGCTCAACGGGACGCGGGGATGGTTCCCAAAAAGCTACGTCACTCCGGAGTCGGCCGGCAATGCCGAGTACGAAGACGCACACCGGAACACAGACTTAAGTGTGGCGTTGAAATGTAATCGATTGCCGGACTCTAATAAATGTGTTATTCTCACTGCAGCGTGGACACAACGGACACAAGTGTTCAGCTAGAAGGTGAGTTTCATTCATCATCCTGTCTGTTCAAAAGCAAAAAAATAAATAAAAAAATAAAAAAATCACAGCTGTGCCAGAAGTGGCTTCGTATGGACTCTTTATAGTTTGTTCTGATCAGAGTCTGTCTGAACTAGAGTATGTGGCCCTGTACACATACGAGAGCCCAGAGACGGGCGACTTGACATTTGACGAAGGAGACGTAATTATGGTGACGGAGAGAGAAGGGGAGTGGTGGAGAGGATGCATCGGTGACAAGACGGGACTGTTTCCCTCCAACTACGTCCGTCCTGTTGAGTCAGAGGTGAGAACAAGCTGGTTGCTTTTCAAAACGACATGGTGTTGCTCCGTACACTGATGTCTATAGAAATGCAGTTACGTCAAACAATTATATTTCTGAATGCCATAGAAAATTCTGCCTTCGTTGAACAGCACAGCTTCTCGTTGAAGTCGTCTTTTTTTTTTTTTTTTTTTTCATTTTCAGTTTTCTACATTTTGCTTCAATCATTTTCTATTGAAACTGTGTCTAATTGGCTTGTGTATTTGTATTTAATCCCTAAAGAAAATACTTTGAAAAACCACTTTTTGCCCTAACAAGTCTGCTGGGAATGCTGGCAAACTGTATTTTACTAATTAGGTGGGGATAAAGGGGCTGAATACAACTGTACAGCATACTTTTGTTTTTATAAATATATATATATATATATATATATATATATATATATATATATATATCACTTTTCCTTCACTTTACAGTTTTTTTTCTTCTTTATTTTGATTCTTGATGTGAAATGTGAATAAAATACAGATGAAACATTTTATTTGTAACTAAGACATTTTGTTGCACGATAAATGTTTTTGGTAATAAATAAAAATAATCTAAGATTAGTCATTTCCTATACCTTATTGCTATATCCTAACGCCTTTTTTTTTTCCAATTTCGCTAACTAATTTCAGGCATCAAAACCTGGAGTTTCAAGCAAAAAACCCGGTGAGGAAACGGCCTTTCGCTCTGTTCCACTTCAACTCAGAGACAAACACAGTCAGGTGGACAAATGTTGATCTAATTTCATTGTTGGATATTTCTGATTGATTACCAGAGATTGTTCAGGCTGTCACTGCCACAGAGGCCCCCACGGCTTATCAGCTGACTCTGTCTCCAGGACAACTGATTGTGGTCAGAGCCAAAAACTCCACCGGGTGGTGGCTCGGGGAACTGCAGGTCAGACGTCGCAGCCTTGGATCCTATTTTTAAATAGACTGTATATAAATATTTTCGTGTTTGTTAACGAAAATGCTTTTTTTCTAAATATCACATTTACCTCTGGTTACCGGACAGTGAGTTTGGTGTGGCTAATTATCATAGTTTTTTGTTTTGTTTTGTTTTTTTCTACTGTCAGTAATTAATTTCATTGATAGCCAATGGTAGCTCAGTGTATGTTGCTGCTTTAATCATTATAAGTAAAAAGTAAAGAAAGTGATAAATTAATAAATATTAATTAAAAAAAAAAATTGTGAAAACATTTTTTTGAAAAATTAAGTCATATTTTTTACCGAATAATTTTTTTAAATTACATTTTTATCTTTCACTATCAATATTTTGAGGTTTTTTTCCTGACTGGGAGCCCACACATATTTGGGATATACATTTTTGTCTTCTTGTTCCTTTGAAATTGTAAAAAAAAAATCTATTAATTCCATTTTTCATTTAGAATCCAAAACAGATGAAGCTATTGGGGAAAAAAAAAAGGACTCCTGGTCACTATTTTTCATACTTCCAGGCTCGGGGCAAAAAGAGACAGAAAGGCTGGTTTCACTCGTCCCACGTCAAGCTCCTGGGACCGTCCAGCGCCAAGACCTGCCTCTCCCCTCTGCCAGGTGACTGCCACCACACTCTGCGCCCAAAAGATGCGCTGCTACCCAACGTTGAGTTTACTCCTAAATGCATGTGTCTGATTTAACCAGCACTCGTCTCCCTCCTTGTAAGCTGACACCTCGTTAACACGCCGTGTTTCTCCCTCGTGTGTATCCCAGTGTGCCAAGTTATCGCAATGTACGACTACGCTGCTGCTAATCGGGACGAGCTGAGCTTCTCCAAGGGTCAGCTCATCAACATCCTCGACAAGACCAACCCCGACTGGTGGAAAGGTGAAACCAACGGGGTCACGGGCCTGCTGCCCACCAATTATGTCAAGATGACAACAGAGTCAGACCCCAGTCAGCAGTGTAAGTAAACCTCATGCTTTTGTTTTTTCTTTTTTTTTGCTTTTGAACAAACAATTCTCGTAGGAAAGGTGTTTCTTCTGTCGTAGCGTTTAAGAGAAAAAGCAATAATTGACACCAGCAGCTGTGCGAGAGCTTCCTCTAAGGAGAAAATAAAAGCTGCAAATACAGAGAAACACGTTGAAAGTTTTGCTTTCTTATCGGTTACCTCGGTTTGATCCAGGTACATTAAATTCCTCATCCTTACCAGAGCCCGGAGGTGGTCATGGTAAGCAAGATATTTTTTTTTTTTCCGTCGCAGAGGGAGTTGGTGTTCTCTGGCGCTTAAAAGGCCTGATCCCAGACATTTCTCGCTGATCGTTGCAGAAACTAATGAGTAATTTCAACCTTTGCAAGTAACAAATTAGGAAAAAGGAGGAATCGGGCTTTTTAAGCTTACCCTACTTCAAAGATCATTTAAAGGAATAATACAACATATTCATGATCAACTCTTTTGACAAGAGTCTCTTGAACTCTTTAAATTCATCGATCTCTGGGCAAAAAAGTTCAATGTAATTTCTATAATTTTAGATTCCTTGCAATTTACTATGGCAATCAATCAAGAAGAAAAATCACTGATAACCTGCCACATTAATCATTTCGCTCACATTTCTGGAAATTTAATTGAAGTGGTGATTCCATTGGACCTGCAGCTCTGATTTATGAATGCAGCACTTTCTACAAATATTCAAACTTCTTTACTTGTTTTTTTTTTTTTTTTTTACATATATCTCAACACATTGCAATCACAATTTGTATCATAATTTTACATCATCGGTCAACACGAAGCAGTACCTAGTTGTGAAATGGAAGGAAAATGAAGCGTGTCTTTGAAATTGCGTCCATTTCCTTCCACCTCATAATGATGTACCACAAATGAGTAAAACACACAAGAAGGTCTTGGTTGTGACGTGACAAAATGAAGCAAACTCAATATTTTACCAAGATGCTGTGGCTGGGCTTAAGCATCTGTTTAATGAGAGGCTCGCGCTCGAATTAGTATTCATAGGACGTGTGTTTTTCGCCCACCGCAGCAGATTTCTTGTTAATAAGAGCGAACACAGTTGACATTTAATTAGGCTGAGCTCGTCAAAGCCACGCTCGCTAAAAACAATGAAATTTTCACTTTCATGAACGTCTTCCTGGCGGACGCACACGCACACACACACACACACGCTCTGCGCTACGGCGCAGAAACGAGAGGCGATAAAAGATGGGCACGCACCAGCTCGTAATGATTAGTAACAACATTTACATTTCCAGAAATGCATTATTAATGCATGTGCATGTTAAGACTCCTGCATTAATATTAAAACGATATTAACCGTCTGCTGTCTCTCTTCCCCTTTTTTTCCATCTCACTCATCTCCCCGCCTCCTCTACTTCATCCACTTTTTTTTTTCTCCTTCTGTAGGACAGTAGTGCTGGTTTTCCTCTCTTCTTCTTCTTCTTCCTCCCCTCTTCCTCTGTCTTGCCCCTCCCTCCTTCCACCACCACCACCACCACCACCACCCCTGTCTGAGCGAATAGCCCTGAGGCAAAAGGGAACCCGGCAGCCAGCGAGAGCAGAACTGCCCAGCTCCTCACTTTCCTCTTGAATTATTTGGGACTGTGGTGCCCTCTGCTCCTCCTCTGTTACAATTCCTCTTTTGATTGTTTTGCTTCTTACTTTTTCCTGTCAGACTATTGATTTCTTGCCCTTCACTTTCTCCTGTCTCCCTCCACTAATTATCCAGGGTGAGTGTGAGGTGGAGGCAGCTCGAAACAAGCAAAGGGGTGGGGGAAGGAGGTTTTGTACCTTTAACACAGAAATATGGAAAGTCTAGTTTTAATAAGAAAAAAAAAAGCAGTTGGGTCCAAAATCATTCATGTGCATGCCAAATTTTGATTCGTTGGGGAATTTTTTAAATTAGTGAACCATTTTGTTAATGACTCGGAACGATATAAACGAGTGGCAAATAGATTTGATTATTTATTAATGCATTTATTATTATATCTGTTGTTAAAAATGCAATACTTATAGATTCCTTTTCAAATCAAAAGCTCAAAAAGTGTTTGCACCCAAAAGGATTTCAATAAAACAAATGTAAATGTAACAATCCCGAGCAGATTGCTAAAAGGGAAAGAGAAGAAAGTAAAAAATGCTTCAGAAATATGATCATTTATGTCATTTTAGCCACAAACTTGAAGATCAATTCTAAAGTAACAATAAATCAAACTCTGGCATCCATCTGGGTCATTTTGGGCCGAACTCTAAAAGGATCTGGAAGAAATTAGCCGCAAGGTATAAAATATACTATATAAGTAATTAGTTTTCTACACTAAGCTTGTGTATTAAAGGTAAAATAGTATTTTAATAGGGTCACTCATTCTTGCACTAACACTAAACTTTACTGAACTGGACCAATGAGAAGATTCACTGTTGCTCAAACCGCCTCCTCGCTGCCACATTGCAACTACTTGAATGGTGTTTTTAAGACTCAGTTCTTAGGCGCTCTTATTTGCATTACTGCTTCATAGTAGTTTAAATTTCAAGTACTCAACTGTGATATCACCAGCAAAAAAAAAAGCCAAAAAAAAGAGAGAGAGAAAAAGAAAACATAAGCGTTCAAAGCAACTTTGTAGACGCTGAAAAGGACAGTGCTTGCGCCGACATTTACATGTACGTTTTGCCAAGTTTGAACCTCAGAGACTTGAACTCCCCGCTGGGTTTTTTTTTTTCACCTCTTTTCCTCCTTTTTTTTTTTTTTTTTTTTTTTTTCCATTTACCCCTATGCAATCATCAGGAGAGGGCTCTCCGACGTGAGAGGTGCTTTAATTTAATGCAGTCTTCTTGGTAGCACTCTTGTTAGCGTCGCTTCGTATGTTGTGTTCGTTCGTGCGCTGCATCTACAACGTGCCTCACTCAGTGCGACAGCTGTAAATACAACATTAAAGGACTGATAATAAAAGAGGATTTTGACACGTGTGTTTGTGGAGTGTCTTTATATGCTTTTCTGTGTGCCGTCCACCTCTTATGCTTGTGTGAATCTGTGTGTATTTGCACGTGCATGCGTTTGCGTGTGTGCGTGTGTGTGCGTGTGTGTGTGTGTGTGTGTATGTGTGTGTACGTGTGTGTGAAACAGGGTGTGCAGACCTGATCACGTTGGACACAATGACTCCTCAGGAAAGGAAGAGACAGGGTTATATTCATGAGCTCTTCCACACTGAGGAGACCTATGTGGATGATCTGGAGCTGGTCCTAGAGGTACAAAACAAATGTTTGTTGTTTTTTTTTTTTTTGAAGAGTAATTAAATTTCTTGATCTACAACGGGTTAATTGACTTTTTGGACTGTTGACGGGTGCTCAGGTGTTCCACAAGCCCATGTCCGAGTCAGGTCGCCTGACAGAAGCTGAGATGGCAACGATCTTTGTCAACTGGAGGGAGTTGATTATGTGCAACACCAGATTGCTCAAGTAGGTACCACGTGTCGCAATCTAACATATCCTTATGAAAGTATTTGTAGCCCTGGAAGTCTTCCATTGCATTGGAGTCTCACACAAAATTCCCAGCGGTTCAAGCTGGTCACGTGAGACGATGTGGCAAAACTTCCAAGCGGCACGAACGCATTATTGCAAGGCGCCGGCGTGTGGAAGAACAAAATCTGTAAAACGTGTAAAGCATCCTCACCATTTGTGTGCGCCAGTGCTCTGCGTGAACGCAAGCAAACGGGAGGAGAGAACATGCCGGTTCAGCTGATCGGAGACCTGCTGGCTTCGGAGCTCGCTCACATGCAGCCGTACGTTTGCTTCTGCTCCTCCCAGCTCAACGCCGCCACTCTCCTGCAGGCCAAAACCCACAGCCAGCCTGAGTTCAAAGATTTCCTCAAGGTACAAATGACGAGCACTCGATTGGCGGGGGCAAATGTTTTTTTTTTTTTTTTTTCACGATATCTATTTTTTTCTAATATTTTCCCTCCTTTTTGAGCAGAAGGTTGCCACAAACTACCGCTGCAAAGGAATGCCACTGTCCAGCTTCCTGCTGAAGCCCATGCAGAGGCTCACCCGCTACCCTCTGCTCATAAAGAATGTACATTCATCGCATCCTATTTATCGCCATCTCTCTCCTTTCTCCTTCACTTGCTGTGGTAACCTTGCGCCTCGTTGTCTTCCCGTCGCTCAGATCCTTGAGCACACTCCAGAAGGCCACGAGGACCGCGAGCCGCTCCGAGAAGCCCTGGAGCGAGCCGAGGAGCTGTGCTCTCAAGTCAACGAGGCGGTCAGAGAAAAGGAGAATGCTGACCGCCTGGAGTGGATACAGAACCACATTCAGTGTGAGGGGCCTATAGAGGTAAACCCACTCAAACGTGGCAGATGCGTGTCTTTGTCGAGCCAGGGCTTAAAAGGGGGCGATGAGCCAATGTTTTTCGGTGTCTGGAAAAACCTCACATTTGACCGGCACCGCGCCGTTACCTAGCAACCCGACCGAAGCCCAGCCCCATCACCTAGCAACCCCAGGGAAGGCCAGCCTGTTACCTAGCAACCCGACCGAAGCCCAGCCCCATCACCTAGCAAACCAAGTGGACCTCCAGCACATTTGTTCAGCTGGTTTTACTTAGGTGTGCACTGTACAATGGCTGCTGGAAAAGACGAATGTTATATTGTTGACTTCCCATTAAAAAAAAAACCCACTTGCTGCTTTGTTGTTGGTTGTGCAGAAAGTCCCACTTTTGCTTTTCAAAGATGTATAAGTTGTACAATTGCACATCTGTTTGCAGCCATTTTCACGTGCGAGTGTAAGTCATTGAGTTGAGGGGCGTGGTCACCCGCAGCTTATTTGGATTTAAAGGAACATGCGACCTTGAAGCAACTCGAAATGGAAAGAACTGAGCAGACTAAAATCTTACTATCTGAGAAGGATTTTGTGCCAAACATGTAACTACCACGTTTTGTAGACCCCGTAGATCCATCCTAACTTGTTCAAGAGAGCATAATAGGTCACCTTTAAGCTTCTCTCCATCTGTATTGCAGCACCTGGTCTTCAGCTCTTTGACCAACTGCCTCGGGCCCCGCAAGCTGCTCCACAGCGGCCGGCTGTTCAAAACCAAAAGCAGCAGAGAGCTGTGGGCTTTCCTCTTCAATGATTTCCTCCTCCTCACACACAGCGCCAAGCCCTTCTCCTCCTCAGGATCAGAAAAACTGTTCAGCCCCAAAACCAGCATACAGCTGAAGATCTACAAGACGGTACGCCTTTCAGGGAAGGCTTCTGGAGAGTGAGGGTTTTTCTCGTTGTTGTTGTTTACATATTGTGTGTCTTCCCAGCCGCTGTTTCTCAATGAGGTTTTGGTAAAAATGCCGGCGGACCCGTCCAGCGATGAGCCGCTCTTTCACGTCTCGCACATTGACCGCGTCTACACCCTGAAAACGGAGACCTTAAGCGAGAGGTACTCATGAGCGGATGCTGCACTTCAAAGCACTGTGAACCCTCTGTAATGAGGATACCGTGGGTTTTAACACGTCTTCTTTGTTTTGGTAGGACAGCGTGGGTCCAGAAAATTAAAGCAGCCTCTGAACATTTCATAGAAACAGAGAAGAAAAAGAGAGAGAAGGCATACCAAGGTTAAACACGCACTACTGGTCGCATTTGCAATCTGACTGACAACTTGAGTGGGATTCTTGCAGAAGCATTCACATTGTTAAGAGATATTAGAAGTGTTGTGTGAATGACGACTAGATCGAAATTTAATTGACTTGAACACAACAAGGCAACAAGTTCTTGAAGAATTTTGGCAGATTCTGTTCCAACAGAGTCTCAGGTTTTGCAAAGTCTGCCTTTAATCCACGTGTAAAATCTACAATTTCTTAAATTACATTTTAACTAAACAGCTAAATCTGTTTACAGACCTCATAAGCAAATATCATCCTGACTGAAAAAAAGGACTGAAAGTTACTGAGTTCTGAGAAAATCCAATGTAAAGACATGAATCAAAATATAAAAAAAATACACAAAGATTAAATTCCTTTACTATAGTTTTTTTTTGCAATGGACATATATAGCTTTTACTCTAAACTCTTCCAACTCTAAGCCTGAATTGCTTGATATAAGAACCTGCTTTAATACGTTCTACACCATGAGCAAAATGTGTCCTTTTGTTTTTACCCCAATCCTTTTCTATTCCCTTCAGCACGCTCCTTAAAGTCTAGTGGAATCGGTCGCCTGCTGGTGGCGGTCATAGAAGCTCAGGAGCTGAAGGCCTGCAAGCCCAACGGTGAGACAGAAACAACAGAAGGCAAATCAGTTTCCGTCGATTAATAGTCAACCACAAAAGAAGCTGAAATCGACCTCCCTCTTTAGGTAAGAGCAATCCATACTGCGAGCTGACCATGGGGGCTCAGTGCTACACGTCGCGGCCGGTCTTGGACACTCTGAACCCAAAGTGGAACTTCAATTGTCAGTTCTTCATCAGAGACATCTACCAGGACGTCCTGAGCATCACTGTGTTCGAGAAAGACCAATTCTCACCCGACGGTCAGTGATATGTGATAACACGAGACGTGTCGGCCTTCAGTCGTTTTCTAACAGTCTACCAGACATTTCGGCAAGGTTTTGTTTAGATAAAGGAGCAGCTAACTGCTAAGTTAGCAGTACTTTCTAGAGAGAACACAAACTTGAAAGCAGCAATAATTAAGGAAATACTCCCTTTAATTGTATCCTGGGATAATTAAAGGTTTCTCAAAATGGAAAAATTAAATTATTAATAGGGGACAGAGACAAAAAAAAAAAAAAAAAGGTAGCCATAAAATATGTCGTCGTCCAAATCTAAAGTTTATGTATGTGTTGCCTGGACTGGATTTTGCTATTGTACAAACTGTCAATTATAGCTGGTAAATGTGATTTAGATGAATAAACTCTTATTGTTTGGTCACAGCTGAATAACAGATTATTGGTCTGAGTGGGCGTACTTCCATATTTGAAACTGTGTTTCATTATGATTATTTTAAAGCTTACGCCAAAAATAAACGCGGCATGTTTAATTTAATTTAATTTGTACAAAAGTTATACTGTAATTCTGGCTCAGAAAATAAATAGGAAGTCATTTAAACCGTAGTATTACCTTAACATTAACAATTCCGTATAAAAGGGCTGGGCAGGTAATTCTGGATGAGTCTCAAACTCATCCAGATCATTTTTATGTGTTAGCTGTTTTCATCTTTTCACCAATTTCGTTCTAAACCAAAATGAATCAAACAGCCACCCTGCTAGCCTCAAATATTCACAATCAGCTGAGATTTAGAAGCGGCTGATGACGACGAAGTCTGAAGCAGCTCACTGACGTGACGGATGTCTTTCTCTTCAGATTTCCTGGGTCGCGCCGAGGTTCCTGTGGCGACTATAAAGAAAGACATGGAGAGTAAAGGAGCAGCGACCCGTCGCCTGCTCCTGCACGAAGTCCCAACTGGGGAAGTGTCGGTCAAACTGGACCTCCAGCTGTACGAGGCAACAAAATGAGCCCCGTTGGATATCTGACATTTGGCTTATTGACAGAGGAGATCTATGTGCTGAAAGTGCCTGTCTGTTGTAAATTATTCAGCTGAATAGTCTGGGTTCTGCTGTCCCTGCTGTGTTTTTCATTAGCAATCAAGACGTTTTATAACCAATTCCGGTCTTAAATGTAGCAAAAAATAAAAAATTGCCAATATTTTCTTATTCAAAATCAAAATCTTTAAAAAAAAAAATTGCTTTTGAATAAAACCGTATAGCTTTGCTAAATGGATCAATTTTTGCAACTAAATATATTAACCAATATATTTGAGTAGGGCTATTTTATCACCAGCAGAAGAGATGAAATGTCACAAGCATCATTGCCAAATATACATGTAGTTGCACCGTTCCTTCCACGTTAAATCTGCAGTGCACACAACTTCAACTTGTAATCCTGAACACAACAGAATTTCATCTGAAAATATGCCAATAAATATGCAAAGCAGAATAAATGAAACTGTTTTTGTCCCTTTCGCTGTTGCCAAGTAGTTCAGTTATTTGACTCTTGAAGACCTCGGAGGTGGCTTCGAATGAAAGTTTACGTGACGCTTAGCAACGCAAGTAGGTTTTATTTTGGGTGCAGTCGCCGGCAAGGGTGAGTTTTAGATGCGGTAAACATCTTGGTTGGAAACATTCACGTCTAGAAAACCAGGCAGCGTCTCCGATTTCCTTGACTTCATCCTTTTTCTGGAGCACTGATGAATGCAAGAAACAGATGAGTCTATAAGGCCTGAAGACGCCGGTTAGCCTGAGAGATCAGAGAGCTGGTAAGACAGCAGCCAGTCTGAGGTCGCTCCAAGGTTTTACTGGAGGCGGGTTTAGATCCTACAGCAAACGGGGGGGGGGACATAAAACATGCAATGTAATTAAGCATAACATGATTATTCCTTCTCTTTTTTTTTTTTTTTACAAGGTTTTCGAATTCAGCCTATTAAACTAGCAACTGACTAGAGCTCATGTTACCTGCTGGACCAGCAGTGGTTAGTCTCTTTTCTCTTATTTTTCTTTTTAATTGAAGACTTAATTGACGCATCTCCCTTGGGCCTGATGTCCTTATCTATGGATGGAGGAGAGAAAGTAAATGTCACATCACTGCGTGTTTATCAATCAATCAATCAAATTTTATTTGCATAGCACATTTCAGCAGCAAGGCATTTCAAAGTGCTTTACATAATTAAAATAAAATAAAAACGGCATGTGACATTGAGAAAGAGAATGACATTTAAGTCTCTTTATGGCGTTGATGTGTTCACCATAAAGGCAGCTAGTGGAAAAACTGAGGAACCTCACCTTAGATTGACAGTGTAGGAGGTAATGACTGTGCATGATTTGGTGTCTCATGGCGTCCATGAAGTACCAGGAGGCGGCATGTTTCTCCACTCTGGTCTGGACGGGAAACCACACATGTTCAGTCCAGCGCTTGTGTTTGAGCTCCCTCCTCCTGAGCTCTTCTGTGTTTGTCTGAGCCAGGAGAGACTCTATCTCCTACAAAAACAAAAACAAAAAAAAAACAGGGAGATTTCAGCCAGAACGAGAGGAGCAGGTGAATAGTATGCAACCGTGTCAGATCCCTCCAACTCTTTGTATGTTTTGTTGTATGACAAACACAAGCTTCTCTGTATTTGGGTGGAATCTGTGTGATGCATCAAAACGAAGTAGGACGTTTGTCATGAACAAGGAAAACGATGCATGCCTCTGCCAACTTTTTTGACACCTTAACCCTAAAAAAAATTCGATGCAAAAACGGAACGCAGGCATTCCACTGCTTGTTAAAATGCAATCTGTAAAGTGTGTTATGTATTTGTATTCAGGCCCCCGGTCCAATTAAAATGGAGAACCCCTTTCTGTGCAACTACAGCACAGAAGGTGATATAGTTGTGTCTAGACCAGCTTGGGGCATCTTAAGACTGAAATTTTAGACCATTCTTCTTTGCAAGCAGCTCAGACTCTTGACTGGTTGAATGAAAAGTGTTTATGGACATTTCTGAGTGTTGAGTCTGAGATTTATGCTCATTTAACTCTTAGACTTTTTTTTTTTTTTTTTGGCAAATATTTTTGAAAACCATGTTTCATTTTTTTTCCAGTTCACAATTATGTGTGTTGGTCTGGAAATATCAGATCAAACGAAACATTTTCAAGGCATCGTACGCTATGCCTTACCTTCATGATCCCATTGTCTCGGTTCGATAAAGGCCGAAGTAATTCTTGTACTTCCTCATTCTCCGCTTTTATCTTAGCCTAAGCAGCAACACAAGAAGTGAGAAAGCACACGGGCCTTCTCTGTGTAAAGGAACGGTAAGCTGGGATGAATGTAGTACCTGCAGTTGCCTGAAGGAGGGATGACAGAGCTGATCCTGTTTAAAGCCGTGCCTTGGCCCGCAAAAAGACGGGACCAGATTCCACGTTCCCGGTTTGATACACACCGAACTGCTCTTTGCCCTCACTCGCGGCTGAGCTATACTCCAACCCCGTCCTGTGGTTCCTTTCACAGCAGCCATGTGGTCCTGAAACATCATTTGTATGAATTAGGTAGCCTGTCACTGCTTTCGAATAAAGGGATCAGTTTAATACTGTCAATTGTTTATAAGCAGAACCTAGTCAGTGGCTCACAGGTAAAGCGGTTTGCTACCACATCCAGTTTAAAGATACAAAATAGAGGAATAAAAAAATAAAAAATAATAGACATCGCTAAACATAAATCCGTCACTGAATGAGTGCCACCCAGATCTCCCAGAACGTAGAACATAATCACACCAGGGGAGAGCTGAAGTTAGCACAACAGATACAGCCCATCACAGCCTGGAAACATGATCTGCTTACTGTTGTTATGCACATACTGCCAGTTGAACATGAATGTTATTTCACAAAATTCATGCAGTTTTGAATATAAGTGTATAAGGACAATGTGTTTCTTCCTGTAGTCCAACATAAGTTGAAGCATCCCTCAGAAACCTAAGATTTTGTTTATTCCTTTAGCTGCTCATCTAGAATATCCCCCCCCCCACCACCACCACCACCACACACACACACACAGAGCCTCCCTGACATTCGCAGACTGGTGATAAATTATTAGTTGAGTTTACAAGGCTTGCACTCTTAGAGCAGTGGAAAAGGAGCACAAAAGTACATGCAGAAATATTATGCTAAATTACAGTGGGAAGTGCAGTGAGACTATATACATTCAGAAAGTTAAAGTATGATCACAGAA